ATAACTGGATGTAATCAATTTATATAAAACATATGTCCATGGCTTCAAATTCACCTCTACCTAAAAAGGAATTAGTTCCTTATGTTCATAATAATTAGTTCCAATAGTTGCAGGTGGCTTGCGGCACAACCCTCATCTTCTCCAATGGAAGCCACGGCAAAGTCTTCTCTCCTTCAAGGCTGCGGCACAAGGTGTGGAATTCTGATTCTAGGCTCTTATGTGCGTGGTGCGAAAATAGGGTCAGAATTATGTATTTATAGGCTAGGGTTTTCGGCACCAATTCCTTGGAGAACAAGGTCAAGGCACGTCCCAATCCAGGAGGGAAAAGGATTAGGGTTTTGGCAGATTTTTGGACTTTTAGAAGAAGAAGGGTGCGACACTTATTTAGGGCTTCTAGAAGGAATGTGTTATGGCAGGTTCCTAAGCTTCTAGAAAAGGGAAGAGGCGCCACCTTTCTAGGGATTCTAGAAAGGATGGTGCGGCATAAGTTTAGGGCAAGGATAAGCTTTCTAGAAGGGTTGCTTCTAGAAAGGGCTTCTAGAAATCTGAAAAGGTTTTGGATAATGCTTCTTCCTTTTAGCTGATTACTCATCTTCAAAAACTTGAATTAATTTCTCCATCTCTTTAGCACATTCCTAGCTTCATTTGATCTTAAAAAACGTCCATTCCTTATGCTCCACATGCATGCAATCCATTCTAACCTAAAATTGCTCTAAAATTCTCCAAAATGCACTTTCTTACCAACTTTGCCAATTGGACCTACAAACACACGAAAATAACTTAAAACACTCTAATAAGCAGAAAATAACTAAGTAAAAACGAAGAAACAAGCTAACTAACTCGCATAAATATGCTCATATCAGCCTCTTCTTTTATAGAGGCATCAATTGTGTTTAAAAGCAAGCTCAGAAAGTTGCTGCTTGTATAAATTTCCTCGTTTTGCATTTATGAGATTTCAATTTATCTAACCTTTTTTTCCTTCATCATTTCTGAAAATGGCTTGCCTATCTGACTGTCGTTTCAATTTGAATGTTGTGGAATATGCAAACATGTCTCCTCAAGACAATCTATGTCATCCATCCTTCTTATCCACTAATGGTCATCTTACGGTTGGGGACTCTGTGATAAAGAATAACATAATTGTTACAATGATAGCTTGGAATCTTCTCACTCCCAAGTATAAAAAGATACTTTCAAAACAGTTCGACAAATTAGTTGTTCAAGACTCTCTGGTTTTCAGTGTTCAGTGTGTGAGCTCTGTATCAAATATGGGCCAACGCCTACTTACTCGAACTCACTAAGTTGAATCATTAATGACTGAGGTGGCAAATCTTAGATGAGAGATCAGATTGCTCAAGTACATAAATAGAGGGTTGCACATGCTTGCAAATAATTACTCAATGAGCATGAAAAGAAAGCTTGACTAGTTGCAGGAATCTGAAAGTCGGATTCAAAGTGACCATCAGAGGTTTGTGGCTTTATTCCAAAGGCACCAATTGCAATCGTCGTCTGGAGTTTTACCAAGTATTGAGGCTCCAAATAATCAAGTTTTACCAAGTATTGAGGCTCCAAATAATCAATCTTCGGTGCCTCTTCTTTTTGGAGTTCCGCCAAGTACTGAAGCTTTACATGATCAATCTCTAGTGCCTCCCCCTTCTAGTGTTCTGCCAAGTACTTGAGGCTTCACATGATCTGTCTCTAGTGCCACCTCCTTTTGGGGTTCTGCCAAGTAATGTATAATCCTTGTGTCTCTGAAATTTTTTATTCCAACTTGTTAGATATAGAAACCCATGAAAACTTCTGGTTCCATAATCAATAAATAAATGAGCAAACGATGAAATATTCTAGTTCCAAGAATATAAATCAATGAACCTTTTAATGGATAAGAATAGTGTTGTGCTAAATACAATAAAGTATATACTTCACTAAGATGTGGAAGAATAATGTTGTGCTAAATATAATAAAGCATATACTTCACTAAGATGTGGTCCTTCTGGACCAAATATCAATTTATCTTTTCCCTCATGAAGATAAATGATCATTCTTAGTGTCTAAACATTGGTTAATTATTTGAGTATTTAACTCATAATCTTCAACCCATATGGTTCTTTAATATCATAAACATCATGGATAAGATTCATGTTGGCATACTGTTCGATCTGCAGCTCGAGATAATATTCATTTCAACACTTTATAATCTTTCTAGACTATTCAGGAGTTCAAATCTAATATCATCAACTCTTGCAAGAGATTTTAGTATGTTGCAACAATATCATAATGATAGTACTCACTAAGGAAATTTATACCATCCACTCGTATTGAGTATATAATTTATGCTTTACCGCTTACTTCAAACAATTTGAATCATTCATGGATTTTCTACACTTCATGACACATTACCCTTTTAGAACTTATACAGAGCAATTTGCTCCCATGTATACTTGAGGGATTTACTTATGGAGACATAATTTGGGTGACTCACAACCCTTCATATATAATTCTCCATTTATATGAACTCGTTTATAGGAGTATAATTTCAGGTTTCAATTAGTAACCTTATGTTATATCATGTGAGTGTATTTCACTGTATTACAAATGCCCATATGTAGCCTCCTTGGTTCAACATCATTTGGCTATTTGTATTATAGACATATAAATAGGTCCATTTTTCCACATTCTTACAAAATTGTAATGGAATTTCCTTTCTCCATTTTGGCCAATAATTGGAGAGTTCAAGTCACATGTTTCTCTGATGAGAGTGCTAGAAGGTTTTGATCAGTGAGAGTAATTCGTTTGCTGCTGCAATATTGAAAAGGTCTGATGCAATTAGTTTATTCCTAATGAAGTTATTGTTTGAGCTATTGGTTATGAATTGTTTTTTGTTTAATTGTTAGACATGCTGCTTTCAATTGTGATTAATACACATTGATCTTTTGAAAAGTGGGAGCAAATTGTTGAATGACTCTTTATATATCGGTTTGATCATGAGTTAAATTTGCAGATTGAATATGTGTGGACTTTGAATTAATACTGTATTTGGTTTGTAGTTGAAGGTTCTTAGTTTCTATATTTTGAGATGCAATGGAGCATTAGTCATGATGGTAAATTCTTGAATAAGGCTGTGTGATCACTTCTTTGTAATTGGTTAGGTTGTGTCTAAAATTGATCTCATGCTCAAGTGGGATAATGTAAGAGTATGAGCATGAGCATGAGATTAGATGTTTTGACATTTGATGTTTAAGTCCAATTAGTCTAAAGAATGCCTTATTAGAAGATGAATGCAAACTCTTGTTTATGAAGGATTTTACTATAGTATTGAATTGAGAAAGGTGAGAAAACACATACAGTTTTTTATATGGATTGTAACAGGGAGTCCATATTGGGATATGACAATGATTGTATATGCCTATATATATTGGAACCTCTATTCTCACAGTACTACACTCTTTTACGGAAATAAGTCATATTATTAGTTTGAGCATAAAGTGTACTGACAGAGAGAAGAAGGCTCGGCTAGCAATTATTCACTTTCATAGCTTCATGACTTCATCAAATGGGAATTCTTCCGGTTAGTTTGCAATATTTGATTAATGGATTAAGGTTTTGTGTTTTGTCTAGTTGTGATTCATGAAACTAAACCTTTGTTGTGGTTTGATGGTTTATAGAGCTCAATCACAATTTGATCAGGGACTGAGCTTATAGGAAGGAAACATTGATAGATTTGCTGGTCAATCTATCTTGTTATTTTTTTGCCCCTTTTTATCATTTTTTTTAATTATTTATTTATTGGGGAAAATTTTATAGGACAACAATAAGGCTAGCAATGCTTTAAGGCATGGAATGTTGGGATGTGAAAACATCAACACGTACATAAAATAGGTGTAGTGGAGATGAGAATGTTTCGTTGGATGTGTGGGCACACGAGAAATGATAAGATTATGAATGAGGATATCCGAGGTAAAGTAGGAGTAGCCGAAATTGAAGAAAATATGAGAGAAAATCAGTTACGGTGGTTTGGACATGTGAAACGAAGGCCTACTGACGTTCCAGTTAGAAGATGGGATTACGAGACAGAGGTTTAGGGCCAAAGGGGTAGATGAAGACCTAGGAAGACTTTAGAAGAGACTATAAGAAAAGACTTAAGAGTACTTGGATCTAATGGAAGACGTGACACATAACTGAACACAATGACGTTCTAGGATTCATATAGCCAACCCCACTTAGTGGGAAAATGCTTTGTTGTTGTTGTATTTATTTATTGGGCAAGTTATGTGGTACTTTGTTATGGCATTCAACTGGGTTCGTGGAAACTTTCGAATTACAATGATGTGCTTCAACACTCCCTGTGATATAAGACATCTTGTGATCTCTGTGTTGATGTTGATTAACTATGTGTATATAAATAGGTTGTTATTATTTGCATCAATATTTAAAAGCCCTTTTTTTGTCAATTATTAAAAGCCATTTATTTTGATAAGGGTTTTTCCTCATAAATGGTCCCTAAAATGACCCAATTATTCAACTATGTGTATATAAATAGGTTGTTATTATTTGCATCAATATTTAAAAGCCCTTTTTTTTGTCAATTATTAAAAGCCATTTATTTTGATAAGGGTTTTTCCTCATAAATGGTCCCTAAAATGACCCTTACCATCAAGATGGTTCCGTAAGCATGTGGAGATACACTGCCATTTTATCAGAGAGAAGGTTCTACAAGAAGAAGAAATTGAGATGCTGCTAATTAATTAAGATAGATGATCAAGTTGCGAACCTGTTCACTAAAGGTTTGAGTACCGGTAAGTTTGAAAAGTTTTATCATCAACTCAACATGGAGAAAAAAAAAGGGGTCTGATATCCACACACCCCATTTTACTTCTCATACACATTTTTAATTTTCGGCCGTCGGATCGGATGAATTGAAGAAGATCAACGGACAAAAATTATCAAGGGGTGTGTGAGAAGTAAAATGGAGTGTGTGGATAACACATTAAAAAAAAGGTGTGGTGTTAAGGGGAGAGAGTGGGAGAGAGATGGGGAACATTTTTGCAGTCTGCAAGTTTATTCTGCGCGGGGTTATGAAGCTAGTAGGGATGAGATCCCAAACTGTGGAAATCGAGCCAGGAACTGTCATGAACTTCTGGGTCCCCAACAAAATTACAGAAAACCAAAAATTCAAGCCAGCCGTGGTATTCATCCATGGGTTTGCAATGGATGGCATCACAACATGGCAATTTCAAGTGCTATCTCTTGCCAAAGACTACGCAGTTTACGTTCCGGACCTTCTCTTCTTTGGCGGCTCCACCACGGATAAACCGGATAGGTCACCGGAGTTTCAAGCGGAGTGTGTGGCAAAGGGTTTGAGGATGCTTGGGGTGGAGAGGTGCACCTTGGTGGGGTTGAGCTATGGAGGCATGGTTGGGTTTAAGATGGCTGAGTTGTACCCTAATTTGGTTGAGTCTATGGTGGTGACTTGCTCCGTTATGGCTTTGACCAGATCAATCACCAATGCATCTCTTGAGAGACTGGGGTTCAAATGCTGGTCAGATTACTTGCTTCCCGACTCAGTTAAGGGTGTGAGAAACATATTTGAAATTGCTACCTATAAATTTCCACATCTCCCCGATTGGATTTGCAAACACTATTTGGAGGTATGTTATTTGGAGTAATTAGATAGTTAATTATGCTAACTAAGTAACCCACGCATGTTGATCTGGATTAGTACTAGGTTCATGCTTCTTTTGACTCTTAAACATTTGAGTCAATGCATATATGGGCATTGTGGCTGCAGGTTATGTTTGAACATAGAGAAGAGATGGAGGAACTTTTGGCGGCATTGGTTGTGGATGACAAGGACTTTACAGCTGCTCATTACCCACAGGTTTTCTTCATATACACTAGCACATAGCACACACACAAAGTGTGTAAATTATTTCTCTTAATAAGTGCATATTTTTTTTCTATACTATTATTTGTCTGTGAACAATTTCTCTTAATAAGTGCATATTTTTTTTTAATATTACATAATTACTGTTTTGTCTTCCTTATGCAAATATTGTGTATCAATGGAAAAATAAGTAATTGTCAGTTTTCCATAAAAAAAAAAAAAAAAGGTAAAATAGTAAAAATAGGGATATGATTATCATTTTGTCAAAAGATACAAAATTACTATTTTTCCCTCCTCATGTCAATATTGTGTATTCAAAAGTGAGGGTAAAATTGGAAGAAAATGGGGCAAAAAGTTGACAAGCCCTCTTCTCTTAATAGAATAGATTACAAACAATCTGATAATGTTAAGAGTTGTTTGATAACCATTTCTTTTTTTGTTTAGTTTTTATATTTAAACTGAAAACTTGTTTAGTATTGAAAACCCAACACTGAAAACTATTTTTGTGAAAGCTGAAAACTGAAATGGCTATTAAACGGATCGTAAAGCAATCAAAGAAAGTGATCTATCTAATTTTTTTTTCTCCAAAACTTTCCTTTGATACAAATGACTCGTTTTCTTGCAGCGGGTGCATCTGTTGTGGGGAGAGAATGACAAGATTTTCGACATGGAAACTGCCAAAAATCTCAAGAAGTATGCCCAACTTGTCTTAGACAATGCATTATTTTACTCATTCAAGAACTTTCACTTTGATATAAAACCTAAAATGGATCAAATCACAGAGAATGCCAATGGACCATGTTTTTAGACGATACTTTATATACGATATGATGTGACGCTGTTGATGATTGGATTCCTTCTATAGTGCTTATAAAATGAAATCCAACAATCAACTGCTACATCGTTTGGCCTAAAAAATATGTTCAAGACTTCATGTAGCCTCTCTAGCAACACTTAATTTGTTATAGTCATAAAAATCTTTCTGATAATCCATTTATTTTGGGGTCTTCTGATTATATTACAGCCAACTAGGAGACAACGCAACTCTAAAGTCCATTGAGAAGACCGGCCATCTTGTTCAAGTGGAAGGACCATTTGTTTACAACGGGGAACTCAAGAGATTTCTCTCTTCTCTGTTACAAGAAAATGTGCACGAACAGTAAGCAAACTTTGCAAACACTTAAACTCTAATAGTTCCCAGTTTGAAATTAAATCACTGTTTTAAGAAGGCTAACGTGATCGATACGTGGTTCATTTCGCGTTGTAAATTGTTAAGTTGGCCAAAAGGCCCTTCGAAAAAACAAAATACAAATATTGTGTGCTGATATCATGCAATCGATTTCTTTCTTTCCCCAGTTTTTGTTTATTTTCTATGTAATAAAATATTTGAGACACAGCTGTGTGAAAGTATATTCTACACTTTTGCTAACGTTATTGATGATGAAACAAATATGATATTTTAGATGTCAATATGTTATTAGTTTACTAGAGCATCCCCAACAGTTTTTCTTTAATGTGATTTTTTAAATACAAATTTATTGATCAACTTGGCATTTTGAAAACTTCAATACAACAGACTCACAAGTCTTAGTATTCTTCTATTACTGTTAATCATGTGCTTTTTTTTTTAGTATTTCATTTTTAAGAAAAAGTTAACAATGACACACTACCATAATAAAAGGAAAGGGTAAATTACCCTAAACCACCTCAATTTATGTTTGCACCATAATTTCATATCTAATCTTTAAATATTGTAATGTCATACCTTAACTTAAAAATTCGTTTGATACATTAACTGTCATTCAAGTCAATTTTTTCCTTTTTCTTCCCTTCCTTTTACCCTTTTACACTTTTTTTTTCCTTTCTCTTTTTTATTTCTTTTTTCCCTCCCGACCTTTGCAAAATCCACATCGACGCCCATCCTTCTGACCAGCCCCCCATCCTTAACTAGATGCCCCACCTCTCCAACCCCAAAATCCTCACTGCCATTCAACGCGCCGTTTTCGACGTTTCCTAAATCTGTCCCATCCTCAAAACCCTTGGCGACCGACTTGACCACGAGCTCGTCGACACCAGCCTCTTGGTGACTGACTTGACCACGAGCTTGTCGACACCACCCTCTTGATTCCCTCGAGGACTACCACGGCTCCCACCAGCCATTCAAATCTCATCCTATCTAAAACCCCACCTTCCACTAGCCTCCAATATGGATATGTAGGTGGTTAGAGAAAGAGATAAATGGGTAGGGCTCAAAAAGAAAGGGAGAGAGAGGTGAGGGCAAAGGAATTGGATGTGCACAAGCAATCTTGACTTATCTTATGTTTGTCTTTAAATTTCCCGATAAGTTATGCAAAGAAATTGATGCAGTGCTTGCAAAATTTTGGTGGGCCAGAAGGAGAAGGAAAGAAGAATACATTGGATTTGTTGGGAAGATGGGATATGCTAAAGGTGAGGGGGGAATGGGTTTTAGAAATATGAAGGATTTCAATCTTGCCCTACTAGCAAAGCAGTGTTGGAGACTTATTCATGAACCTGATACTCTCTGGGCTAAAGTGCTGAAGGAGAGATATTTTTCTCATGCTTCGTTTTTGGAGGCAAAAAATGATGGGCAAGTATCTTGGATTTGGTCAAGCTTATTGGAAGGTAGGGAGATACTTATGGAGGGTGCCCATTGGCAGGTCATGAGCAGACATCAAACCAAGCTGTCGGTTGATAAATGGTTGCCCGAGATTACAAATGGACATCCGAATCCTATAGATGGAGTGTGTGTTGATAAAAACCAGAATGTGGCATCAATTATTCAGGAGGACACTAGAATTTGGTGCTTAAACTTTATTCGGAATTTAATTTCGAAGGAGGAGTGTTTGGCAATTGAAGCAACAAATGTAGGAGATTTTGAATCTAATGACAAACTGATATGGCCAATGGAAAAGAAAGGAAATTTCTCTGTGAAGTCAGGATATAGATGGATTTGAAGCAAGAAAAGGAGGAGCCAGAATCAGTGGTCGTCTTCTTCGTGCATCACGGATCCGTTAGTGTGGAAGGGGATTTGGAGTCTTGAGGCCCCGTAAAAAATTAGGAATATTATTTGGAGAGTACCGAAAGGGGTGATTGCAACGCATGCAAATTTATTCAAGAAGAAGTGTGTTTCATCACCAATATGCCCAATTTGTAATGAATATGAGGGGACTGTGGATCACATGCTCCTTACGTGCCCATGGGCCCATGGGTGGAGCTAGTTTGGTTTAGAGGTCTGCTTGGCTACAAGATTGATAGATGTTCAGTGACAAATATCAATGCTTAGTTGATGGAAAAGCTGAAAGTGAACTATGCAACAAAAGAGGATAGGAAGAGATTTATAACATTAATGGCTTTCACGTGTTGGCATATATGGAAAACTCGGTGTAAAGCTGTTTTTAATCATCAAAATCCATCTCCTTCTCAAACCATTCATGCTATCACTTGTACCAGTACGACTTTCCAAACGGCGAAGGAATTGATAAGTGTCCAGCAATCCCCAGGTATGGAAAATCAGAGGAGAAGGATACCCTGGTCTCCTCCCCCTTCACAAATAATAAAAGTGAATGTTGATGCAAGTTGGAAACTCAGGAGTACCGAAGGATATGTGGGCATTGTGATTAGAGACTCACAAGGAAGATGCAAGAGCATGGAAAGGAAGAAAGTCCGTGCTTCGAATGCTTTGATTGCGGAGGCTAAGGCGGTGCTTCAAGGTTGTCTAAGTGCAAAGCAAAGGAATTATCCCTGCTTAATTGTGGAGTTTGACTCAAAGCAGGTAATTTCGACTCTTAATGAAGGAAAAGGAAATTGTAGCTGGGAAATTTTTCCCATTGTCAATCATATTGTAAATGTTGGGAAATCTTTCCAGATTTGTAAATGGTCTTGGATGGCAAGATCAGCGAATGAAGCGACAAATTTCGTTGCAACCAATGTGGGTACGGAGATGAGCGAGTAATGTAGGATTAACAAACCACCATCTTCGTTGGTTAGAATCTTAAACAAGGATGGATTGCCATGTCCACTTTCTTAAGTAGTTTATTGGAGTGGGGAATGACGCTTGGTTTGTAGTATTGGTGTCTACTTGTATTCGATGCTCCTTTTTGTTTTGTTAATCCTATTAGCCTTGTCTGGCTTTCTTAATGTACTTCGGCCGTTGCTGTGTTTTGGAATGCATTTTCAGTTTCTACCAAAAAAAAAAAAGGAAAGGGATGTGGGTTTTTATTTTATTTTTATTTATTTTAATATTTTTATTTTTTAATAAAATATTAAATGAATTGAATAATCTTTAATAATTAGATAAACTTTTATTAGTTGTTTGGCCATGTTGCACAAGTCATTTGATATGTTAGCACAAATATAGAATCCATTGTTGCCGTATCATTATTTAATGACTACTTAACAAATTTTTAACAGAGGTTTGACATTGTAATGAATTTGTAAGGCGATGTATGACATGCAATTTCAAAAGATGTGGTAAGAGTTTGTTATGTGGCCAAAGTTGAGGTGACAGAATATAATTTATCCTAAAAAGAATGTTTGAAGTGTGTGATATATAGTCTATAAATCTAGAGTCTAGAGAGTATAGGCATTTTTAAAATTTGAAGACTTATCTAACAACTTTGTTGGACTACTAAAAATCCTACATGGCACTTCAAATTTAATTTTATAGACTCTCTTGGAGATGTTCTTACATGCCTCTATTAAATTATGTGATGTGGTATCTTGTTACATGAGGAATTGAGATTATATATATATATATATATATATATATATATATATATATATATATATATATATATATATATATATATATATATATATATAAACATTATTTAAATTTAACTATGTGCAAGAGAATTCGAATTAGATATAAAAGAAAAGTATACTATTGTGGTCAACTTAACTATGATCAGTTCTATTAAGAGGAATTGAAATGTAAAACATGGAAGAAGTGGCTACTTAAAACTTTGGAATGTTTATCCCGATCCGTTTTGCTTATATTAAAGAAGAAGGAGATTCATATACATTGTCACTGTCACAGGGTATTAGTTTAGCTAGCTAGGTGCCAAATCATGTCACATACATTAGTATATGTGGTGAATAAATTTTTATCCCACAATTGATTAATAGTATATTAACTGATTAATATTCCTCCACTTCCAAGTATTATTCATTTTACAATAATGCATGTTGACATTTTGTAACCATACATACAGATCGTATTAAAAAAAAAAAACCATTATTATGTAGAATACCTTGGTGTATCTCTTGCCAGCATGATTCTTGCATAACATGCATAAATCTTAGATAAAATTGTATAGATCTGAGTTTATTAATGTTGATATGGATGAAGGACCACATCTTACTGTCATGTTCAAGGATAAAATAAAATACTGAATTATCACTACAAGAAAAATGGTCTTTGGGCATTAAATTAGGGACACAAATGAGGTGTTTGTGTTTGTTTAAACATCAATAGGGTGGAACAATGTTCATTTCGTAATGGGCACCAATGTGAAGAAAAATAGACACAAACACATTATTGGGCACATAACTATGACTTTTGTGCCTTTACTATCAGCAATGGAAATTTTTTATTAATTTGCAATGACACCATAAATATTATCGTGCCCTGTAATTTAATATATTTAAAGTAAGATCTTGTTTAGCACACCGGATAGTACCACCAGATAGTATTAATAATACGAAGCAGATGTTTGGTGAGCTTTGTATAAAATAAGCACCGAAATATTTAATCTGGACCCACTTATCTTATACCCCTCACATCCGGCTATTTATCCCGTCTAAAACCACCGGACAATTTAGTCGGGCTAGCTCTCTCCTTATCCTCCCAGGTTCTGCCCCACCATCATTCATCTTCTTCTTCGTCTGAATCCAAGTTCATATTATCATTCATCTTTTTCTTCTTCCCAGGTTTCGCCCCTCTGTTTTATGGAATTTTGCTGTAATTTCTAATTTCTGGGTTTTTTGCATCCGCCATTATCTAACACAACAGAGCTTTAAATTCTACAACTTTCTGCCATTTTCTAGAGCTTCAAAGCTTGTGAGTAATTTACGGGGTGAAAATCAAATTCAACTTTCTGCAACTTTCTGCCTCGTTTTTTTTATTTTTTATTATTTTTTTTATTTTTTAAGTAGAATGGGGATTAGATGGTATAGGAGGAGAGTGCCCAATTGTTGTAACAGGCTTTGGGGCGGACACCCATCTCTCGCATTTTCATTTGCGAATTATGACCATTCATCACATCCCGTTTTTGCCTGAAGGATCATTCTCCACCATTTTCTAGAGTTTCAACTGTCTGCCAACCTCTATCCTCGAAACAAAGCTGTTTTTGGACCTCCGAACCCCTTCTTGTCTGAATCAAACACCCATAGAACCCAGAAATCTGGGGACGGAGTGATGGAGGAGGAGGGAGTGGGGGGGAGGAGAATCGGAAATCTGGGGAGGGGAGAGAGAAAAGTTCATCAAACATAAAAAAGATTATTTTTCTTATCCGGTTCAGTACCAAACACAGTATAAATAATACGATCATTAGTCTGATACTGCATCAAACACCTGACTAATTTAGTCAGTACTATCCAGTAACTATTTATCATATCCGATATAAATAGTCAATACAATCCAAGCTACCAAACGAGACCTAAAATAGATTTTTTGTGTCCTTTGTTCAAAATAATGTTTTAAACAAAATAAAAAACATTTTCCTCAATCTTCACCCCTCACACATTCCTCACTTTCCTTCCTTGTGCCTCTCTATGTTTCCCCATCCAAACCCACCCTCTCCTCAGTTCCTCCGCCTCTCCTCTCTCTCTCGATTTCCCTTTCCCAATCGAACCAAGCCTCTCTTCTACCCCAAGCTCTCTCTCTCTGTATCATTTTGCCCAAATTTTTCTATTTCCCTCTCTTTTTTGCAGTCGGTGGTATCAACGGCTATGTGGGATTTGGTGAGGGGATGGGTTACGAGAGAGAGCCTTCGACTTGCAGTGAGGAAGAGAGAGAGAGAGCTTACGGCTTGCAGAATCACGATGATAGAAGAAGAAGCTCAGAGGTCTGATACGCCACTTCAGAGGAACCCTAAAAACCAGAAAAGGAGAAGAGGCTAAGAAATCGAAGCATTCAAATCATGAGCCGAGGAAGATGAGGTGGATACGATCGTTAGATCACGATTTTCTCGCTCGAAGGTTACCTCTTCCAAGTTGATGTGATAATCTCCAATCCCTTCTGTGTGATTTCTCTGATTTGAATCTCGGATGGTTCCTTAGGGAGGGCATATTTGTGGGTTTTGTTTTTTAGGGTTTGATGTTTTGAAAATTTTCTTTCTTTTTCGGGTATAAAACTCGGGATTTTGGGGGTTTTTACAGTAGTGGGTTTTTGGAAATTCAAATTCTTGCATTCGCAAACCCATGTAAAACCCTTCAATTTTGTTTTTTTTTAACCTTTTGACGTATGATTTTATAGAAATTAACGGTTGGAATTAACTTTGGAAATCTTGATTTTGGTTTGGTTCAGCTAGGGTTTAGATGAGTCCACTTGCTATGGTGAAGATGGAAGATGCTAAATTCTGCTTGATGGAGGTAAAGTTTTCTCTATTTTACTTATTTGTTATTGTGAAAAGTGTTGTCAAAAGTGTTGGCAACTACCAAAAGTTTCATGCCAACAGATGATTGTTTTAAGGTACATGTGTTGCCTTTTGTTTCCATCACTCCACTCTATGTCTGGTTTAAATTTGATTTTGCATACCTTGTTTGTTTCTTTTGGCTTGTCCATTGCTAATTGACACTTTAACAGGTCGTTAAAGAAGATATGAAGCGAAGGTTAAAGAACACTAATATGAAGCCTCTGAGTCACTCATCATACTTAAGACTGCAAGTTCTGTGTCAAATTTTTTATGATGCAGATGAGAAGTTGCATGTTTTGGATGAATTGTCTATTTCTGATTTGAAGTCATTCATTCCCGAGCTTTGTTCCCAGATACACTACACAAATGTACCTATATTTGTTATAGGTTACTACTATCAATTTGTAAAACTCAAGTTCTTAACATCATCCTCCAGCCGGGTATATTTTCAAGAGAAATCCATGCGGTTCAGGCTTCTTGACCTCATATTCTTTCACTTTGACATGTAACTTGATAAGTGCTGAGTAGTATGTTCTAGTAAGAGAATCGGACAGTTTCCAATACTTAATTTTGACTTTTATTTAAAAATAATTTTTTGTATTTGATTTTAGAATTATTCATTTGTTTTTTTTTTGTGTCAATGCTCTTAGAATTAGTTTCATTAAGGCATTTGCTTAAGCTTACCCTCCCTTTAATATGTGCAGCTATACATTGGGGGCCTTTGCCATGGAAATTTGTTAGAGGACGAAGCAATTACCCTGTCAAATATATTCAAATCGAATTTTTCTGTACCACCACTGCCTATCAAATTGAGGCATGAAGAGTACGTTATTTGTCTTCCTCCTGGTGCTAACCTGATTAGAGATTCCAATGTGAAGAATAAGTCGGAAACGAACTCTGTGATTGAGGTAACTCAAAATGGAACATTTTCGTTTTGGTTTCCCTTTATGAAGGTGTACTATCTTTGTTTGTACTATGATATTCTTCCCTTGGTTGTGGTTTCATATTGCAGCTGTTTTTTTCAAGTTGAGCAAGAAGCAGGGATTGAGTCAATCCGATTGAAAGCATTGATAGATCTTTTCGATGAAATTGTGGAGGAACCACTTTTCAATCAACTAAGGTGATTTTATTTGAGGATGATACTTTTACTTGCATACTGCCTAGCAAAAGAATCTGAGATCTAATAATAATGTTTTCAAATATATTTGAATATATGTTCATATAATTGTCTGCTATTTCTGGAAATAGGACGAAGGAGCAGCTTGGATATGTTGTTGAGTGTGACCCACGGGTAACATACCGTGTATATGGTATTCTCTCAATTCCCCTCTCAATTGATGCTAAAGTATTTGTTAAAATTCTTAGATTTAGGGTTTGGATAAATTAATTTTAGGGATTTTGATTGTGGTTGAAATGTTTTAGTATTTCTCTGCACATTGCAAAATTTTGGTACTATTTGAGAGTTTTGGTGTTGCAATAAGGGGTGGTTTGGGAGTGAGGTGCTTAAAAAAAAGCACCCATGAAAAAAAGTTGTGAGGGTTTTAGGTGTTTGGTAAACTGAAAAAAATGACTTATTTTGGAAGCTGCTGTGAGAATAAGCTGAAATCAAAGGAAAAAGCTAAAGCTGCTATTTGCAGCTTTGGAAAACTGGTTTTTTTTCAAAGCACACGGAGTTGGAGCTACAGTGCTCCTTTAATGAAAAGACCCACTATCAGACTGCTTTTTTTTTTTTTTTTCCAAAAGCACTTTTTACAAAAAAGTTTACCAAACACTCTGTTGATTTATTTCACAGCCGCTTATTCTCACAGCAGCTTTTTTTCAAAGCACAGCAATACCAAACCAGTCCTAAGTCCGGTGTTTGGCTTAGATGTGGGGTTCCAATCTGAATTCAGGTATTTCTTTACAATTTCGATATCCTCAGATCAAGTTTATGAGTTCTAATGTAAAAACCAAAGCACCCCATTTCTTTTTTTCAAAGGCTTCCTAAAAGCTTGGTTTGACAGTTGCTAGTCCATATTAAATTGGAGGAGTTGTTTTGATGCCACCCGTCCCCCATTATCTTAATTATTTATTTGTTGTTAACTTTTCTTTTATGGTGTGGCAGCATTGAGAGAAGAGAATTTAGTAATTGGATCCATGGTAGAGATGCATGAGGATTATCTTTCAATTTCTTTTTCTTTTAATAATTTTGCCTTTTATGCAAGTAGGTTGTTGATGAACACTAACCAATGGACAGGCACCAAGAAGAGGGTAGCCATGAGGATTATCCTGATATGTTCACTCAAATAATGTTTCTACACCTCCATGGCTTGGAGGTTCTGTTTTCTGTATGTGCTGGAGATCAGAATATGTTGTAACTACCTTGCAGCTGATTATTTTTTCCATAACGCATGATATGAATTTTCATGCCAGAAAGTAAATAAGGAACTTGAGTAAATTTGTTTTCTCTATTAGGTTGGAAGTATGTACTAGAGATGCATGGATTGCTTAAGTTTTGTTGGATATATCAGTTTTGCCGGGCTAAAGTACACGTTTTTTATTTTTTATTTTTTTATGAGGATTTCAGCTTGTAGCCTGTTTTGATTTTTCAAATTTTTGAAACTGTGCCTGTCAGCTGGTTGTTAGATTGTTTGACAGACTATCAGAATGTAGGCACAAAAAAACATCTATTTGTCTGTTTGAGCACAAAAAGTCATATTGTGCCCTTTCATCAAAGGTAACGTCCATAGGGGGCACACATAATATAATAGTTGTTGCACAAATAATTTATTGTGTGCAATGCCCATAGTTTTTGTAGTGTATGGAGGTGTTGGTGGAAGAAATCATTCATGACATTTGTGTGTTAGCTTCTCATTTGTGGTCCGTCGTATTCAAGTTTTGTTCTTGGAATTGCAACGTCGAAGCACATAAGGTGCCTGCTTATATTTTTGAAGAGAGATAGGTGTTTCAATGGGTAGATTGATAACCAATATGGCTTTTCAACACCTTCGCTGATGGTCTGATGTATCGTTCACACTTAATTGTTAATAAATTTCATCTATCGTTTGAAAAAAAAGTTGACTAGTTAACTAATTGTTAGTTTAGTTCATTAAAATTTCATCTATCGCTTTGAGAGGACGGGTTCTGATTAGACTGATTTCGAGCCACCATGGCTGAAGCTTTAGATTTTCAGGCTTAGCGTATGAAGATTCAGTGTCACTAATAAGACTTCGTTATTTTTCACTGGAAGAACTGTGCATGTGCATGTACATGTACACTTTGGATTTATTGTATAATCCTACAGCTAAGCTATTTGTTCACGCCTAATGTACTTTGTATCTAGAATAGGAAAGATCACAAATATAATAACAAGGGTCGTTGACTATGAACCCAATATTTAAACATGTACAAGGGTCGTTGACTATAAACCTAATACTTCAACATGTGCACAAGCACATTTATAGGTTAAATCAGATTTTATTTCGATATGGGAACAATTTGAAACCTAGGAGTAGTGCCTGTTAGCTGCGCCGATCTTTTATTGAACATCAAGAGAAAGTACATTGGATAACCTTTTAAGTATCCGAACTCAAATTTAAATATTAGGAACTATAGTTCCATTTTCATAAAAGATATGTGATATGCTTACCGTCACATTGCATAAAATACAAAAGAAAATGTTCAACTAAAAAAACTGAACTGAAAGTACAAAACATAATTGAACCGAAATAGTTTGGTTCAGTTTTGGTTTTTAGGGTTCGAAAACCAAACCGAACCGAACCAAATAAATATATATTATTTTTATATAAATTTTTAAGTATTATATATAATGGGTATTTATTTCCAAACTAATTCCAAGCTCAAACTTCAAACCCTTCAAGCCCAAATAGAATGTTAGGCCTCCTTTTAGAAAGTTAGAAACCCTAGCATACTAATTATTCCTTCATTTCTTCTCCCCAGCCGTGTTCCTTCTCTCTATTTTTTTCCTCTCATGCCGTCACCTTCCTCTCTCCCATTTCTCTCTTGCTTTTTTCTTTTGTTCTCTCATCTCCTTCTCACCCATTTCTTTCCCTTTCTTTTTTTCTCCATTGCTGCATCTCTCTCTATCCCACTATCCAACTCATACCTCTGCCGAAGTCAGCCATGGCTTTTGCCATCGTCGACAATAAGGTGGTTCTCGCTCGCCATTGTTGACGTGCACCAGATCTAGCCACCTTTCATCACAACTGTTCTGATGGACTTCTTCTCCTCGGTCACTAAGCTTCTATCTGGAAGATTCGACAAAGTGTGGTGCAAATTATATATAATTCTTGTCGATGTTATTCTTTGATATGGGTCAATTTTGATAGATATGAGTGACTTGGGTTTGCAATTTTATTGATCTAGAATGGATTTCAAGTGTTATATTTTTAGCTAAAGATTAGTTTTTCTTCCAATTTCTTCAACTTTCATTGTATTCGGCATTATTTGTATTATTTTAAAAAAAATTGAATCGAACTGAAACCGAACCGAAAAAAATCAAACCCGCACAAAACCGACAAAAAACCGAACCAAACCGGACCGAATAGTAACTTCGGTTTGATTTTCGGTTATGGTAAAAAATCAAACCGAATGGAACCGAATCTAACCCTACTTAGAGGTATACATAGTTTGGAATGAATTAATTTTTTGCTCAGAGTTTTGGGTATTGGATATTTAAACTTACTTTTACTAGGTCCCGCCATGTTCAAGATACAGGTATGTTATATGAATATGTTGGTTATGACTGTATACCAGACGTACAAGCCAACTTCCATAAGCATATATGTGGTACGAGATGTGTGAGGCCATGGTGTTTCAAAGCGTTAGTTAAGATAGTTTACTGACAAGCCATTGTTGTGAAGTTGTTGTAAGCATGGCCACTTCATGTTAAAGCATTTATACTCTAAATGGTTGGAACATAAACATATTATGTTGTGCCACATGGATTATTGTTGAATTTTGATATATTTTAGTAACCTCTAATGTGAAGTATATATAGGGATTACAGATATTGTTTTATAGGTCATTTACCGAGGTGAAACAAAATTCATTTACAACTTTAACTAATATTTAAACTACAAATTCGCAACACTCCTATTAAGTTGGAGCAAAGATATCACACATGCCAAACTTGTCAATCGAGTTCAAAAACACACTAGTTGACACTGGCTTAGTTGACACATCTGCGAGTAGGTCTCTAGTTCTCACAAAGGAAAAGCAATGAGTTGATCTCTAGACACTGCCTTAGTCACCACATGTTTTGTACGATCATGTTGAATCGGATTATTAGAAATCTCTATAGTAGATTTTAACAAAGATTCATAGAACCTTTGTGTCCAAACCCAAAATCTCTAAATAATTTCTTAAACCACAACAAATTGCAGACACCATGTGACATACCATGATACTCAACTTCTACAGTAACCAAATTACAACCCAAAAACATAATGTGTCCAGACGTAGATCGCCAATCAGTGATAGAACCTGCTTAATCTGCGTCTTTAATTATACCCATCAACATTTAAATGAACTTTCTTGGCGAAACCAAGCCTTTGCCATGAGCCCTCTTCAATCATCTCAAAATACAAATCACTACATTCATATGAGCTTCATCAGAAGAGTGCATAAACTGGCTTACCACACTAACAACATCAGGGCATGTATTAGACAAGTAGATTAATTGCCCTATAAGCCTTCGATATCGTTCCTTGTGAGTTGGAACTTGATCTAAAAATAAACCCAGATAATGATTTTGCTTAATCAGAGTATCAATAGGTTTGCAATCTAATATGCATGTTTCAGCCAACAAATCAAGTACATATTAACACAGAAAAAGACCTTGTTTGGACATGCAACCTCAATTCCAGGAAAATACTTCAATTCACCTAATTACTTCATCTTAAACTCGGTAGCTAGGTACTCCTCAAGGCGTTGTACCTATTCTTGATCATCACCAGTTACCATCATATCAACATAAATAATGAAAGCAGTTAGCTTACCATTTCGATGCTTGATAAATAGAGCATGATTTGAATGTCTTTGAAAATACCAACATGTATTCATTGAACTTATGCACCTCTCAAACTACGCTCTAGGGGACTACTTCAAGCTATACAAGGCCTTTCACAATTTGCACACGATACCCTTTTCAGAGGCTATTCCAATACCTAGTGGAAGATCCATGTGCAATGACACACCCTAACCCCGATTTCAAGTAGGCACCAAAATCGAGGTTTGCTAAATGGAATGTGTGATACACGTCATATTTGGGATCACCATGAAGGAAGTATTTGTGACATCAAATTGCAGTAGAGGCTAATCCAGATTTGCTCCTAAAAATAAAAGGACACGCACAATATTAATGTTGGCAATAAAGGCAAAAGTCTCCTAGTCCACACCATAAGTTTGTGTATAACTTGGCAACTAATTTGACTTTGTACCGATCAATAGAACCATATGTTTCATGCTTAATAGTAAACACCAATCTACATCCAACAATTTTCTT